ATATATATATATATATATATAATAATGTTCTGAAAACATTATTATATGTGTATTATACATTGGAGTTGATACAACTATTCCGGAGGATAAATTAGCAGCTTAAACCCATGACTTGTGACATGCATTTGTTGTTGCATTTTCTTTTGTTGTTGAATTAACCGAGCAGAATCTACAGCAGAAGGTGTATGATACAACTCCAAGGTCTTTAGTGCAGATACATCTGCCAAACCAACAGGAATACCCAACAAGTTGCTACATTGCTCAATAACAACATGTTCTAATCTTGGGAAATGATGACACGAAGCCTTCCATACAACCAAATCAGTCTTCCCAATTTGCAACACTTTAAGCAACCGAAACCCCCCATCAAGAGCTTCCCATTCAGCTCCTTTGAATGCATACACCTTTAGTTTAAGCACTTGAAGATGTGGCAACATCCCTATCGTAGACATATGCTTCCAATCCAATAACGTGTCTGATAAAGTCAACTTGTTTAAATGAGGAGGGAATTTGTAGAGTGAAGGAAGACCCCGAAGTTTACCTTCAGGAGGTGGACGTGGGAAAGTGTCGTTTAATAATTTTAATTTTTCAAGGTTATCAAGCTTAGCAAAATTGTCAAACAAACTTGGAGTACAAGTAATTCCGGATCTCTTTTCCTCCATGAGTAACGAGAGTTTTCCACGAATTCCAAGTTTTTTAAGATTGGGAGTTCTCGCTAAGATGTTTTCAGTGCAACTATCGGGTGAAATCGTGGAGATGGTTTGTATGTTTCTTTGTACAAACGGGTCTTCGTTATCCATCCGGGTTTTCGCTTTCGGCCCATGTAATCGGCTTGACCCGCTCGTTCGCAAATGGCGAAATTGCGACATTTTCCATATGTCAAGTTGAATGTCAAGATCACGCGATGTTGTCTCAACAATTAAAGATTGAAGACTCCATAACTTTGAAATCGATGGAGGAACAACTTTAAAATTGCCAAAAAGCGCGATGTAGCGAAGATGAACGAGTTGGGTGATTTCAATCGGGAATCGGGAAATGTTTATCGACATCATGTCTATAACTCGAACCAATTTAAAAGATTCATGGATGAAGGACGTATGTTCTCGAGATAATTCCTTTTCCTCACAAGGAAAACAGAGAAAAGAACGAACGTGGGGTCCACAAGGTCTCGAGTGAATAAAGTTCATGACATGTGAATGAACACAAAGACGTCGGTGATAAGGGATTATTAGCGAATTTGAATCTAGAATTTGATGCCCTTTGATTACTTGCAAAAACTTTTCTTCTGATGCTTCTTTTAGGCATAAATCGCGTAGCATATCATGAACACGACATGTTTTAATCCTTCCGTTTGATCTCCTCTTAGCAACTAATATAAGATTCCTTTCAACAAGATCTTCCAAATAATCTTCCGCTAAATCCTCCAAACAATCTTGACCTTTCTGTTGAATAAACCCTTCTGCCACCCATAAATTTAACAGTTTCCAAACGGGTATCGGGAAATCTTCAGGAAAAGCACCGAAATAAATGAAACACACCTTCAAATGATCAGGTAAATGCTTATAACTTAATGCTAATACATCCATGCATTGTCTCGGATCTCTTGCAACATACGAACTAACACTTTCGGCAACTTTTTTCCACAAATCACGCGTCTTATCTTTCTTCAATAAAAGCCCAGCAACTACCACAATCGCAAGAGGTAATCCGTAGCATTTTCTAGCAATCGTTTCACCAAGTTCAACAAGCTCAAATGGACAACTTCCTCTTCTGAAAACTTTAGTAGAAAGTAGCTCCCAACTTTCATCATCATTCAGAAATTTCAAATGATGTGGGAGGCTATCGGGGTTTGCAATTAAAGCCACATCTGTGTTACGACTAGTTAATAGGATCCTACTTCCACAGTTTTGATTTGGAAAAGCCATTTTAAGATCATTCCATGCATCTGGGGTCCACACGTCATCGAGCACAACTAGATATCTTCGACCATTTAAATGTTTGTATATTTCTTCGACCAACATTTCCTCATTCAGTTTATACATTTGTTCAGAAGGATAATCAACAACTGAACTTAATATGGCAAGAAGTAATTCCTTTCGGTTGTATTCTTGAGAAACATAAACCCACGAACGAACAAAGAAGTGAAATTCAATGGCGGGATCACAGAACACCTTCTTGGCAAGAGTTGTTTTCCCAAGTCCACCCATACCCACAATCGAGACAACTTCAAGCAACTCGGAGATATTAGTGAGTCGACTCACTATCTCTTTTGCCTCTTCATCAAAACCAACAACATTGTCTTCCTCAACCATGGGTTTTCTTCTTTGTGATGAAGAAGAAGCTCTGTTTGAAGATTCGACAGTGTAAAGAGCTTCAATGCCAAACATCTTGTTGTCGTAAATCTCCTTCACTTTTGTCTTGATGGATTCGATATCTTTTGCAACAGATCGAAGCTTTGTGGGGTAATCAAATACGTGAACAATTCTGCTGAAGGCGCTTCTCTCTTTCTGCATGGCTGAGTTAACTACAAATGTGTCAATGATGTCTTCTGCTTCGTAAGCTACATCTCTGATTTGTCTCACTAATTCTCTTACATATTCATATTCGTTACGTTTCTCTTTTGCATCTTTGAGAAATGCATTCATTAAACTGAGCTCTCTGTATAGAGAATCAACTTGGCCCTTTACTCCATATATCAAATCCGAGTTGTAGAGTAGCAGTTGCTTCAAATTCTCCAATAGAAATTCAACCACAGCATCCGCCATTTGAGATCTTTATAGATCCCCTTTCTTTTTTTTACAGGTACAGTTCGTTTTGGTATAGACTTGGATCTGCAACAATAGAAAACCAAAATCATGAAGAATCTTGCTTATAAGTTCTAAGGAAGGAGACGACGACAAGGTCTTGATACAAACAAGATAAATTGAGAAATTGAATTACTGCTATCAGCTGCACAATCGCGTTCAAAATCATATGTGCAAAGGCGGAATCCATGACTACCTTTGACTCCATAGGTCAAAGTTTAGTGGATATTCATACAATCAGCCATGAGAATTCAAATGTTGCAAATTTCCACAGCTATCAACACAGAAATGATGAGAAATTATCAAACAATCCAACATTCGGAAGGTTAAAAGTAAAATACGAATCAAAGTAGATAATCAGGTATTGAACTGAAGAAGATTAGATGCAATAAATAAGCTGTAATCAAAGAGAAGGAAAAGCACAAACCAGATCGATCATTCGTAGACGTTACTATTTTTATGGAAATTAGCCATCTGTGTGTGCGTGTGTTTGATCATGAGATGGGGAACGGCGTCGACCGAGCGTTGACTGTTGAGAGTTTTTAAATGATATTCACTCCATTTATATCCATCTATAATATCGGAGAAAAAAATTAGATGGAAAAATAAATAGAGAAAAGAAACACAAAGGAGAATTGGACACACATATTAGAGTAAATTACAAAAAATGGTCCTTAAGCTTTACCAAAAGTTGTAAGAATGGCCTTTCTTTTGTTATTTTTCCAAATACATCTTCATCTTGTTTTTAATAGTTTAAACCCTTTTTATATGTCGTTTGGTTTTAACGTCGCTTTATTTTGTATTGACGTTTTATTTTGTTGGTAAACTAGAATCAAAATTAGTTTTAATGCAATTGTTAACATGACAACTTTAACTTGAATGACGAATTTGACACCTATTATCGAGTAGATGAGTATAATGGAAAGTATGAAAATATGGACAATGATGAAGATTCTTTTTGATGTCACAAAAGATAGAAGTAGAAGTTCCCGACGAGAATGATGGTGGTTTTCAGCAAGACAGTGTAGAGAGAGATAGATCAAGTTGATGTTTGTTAAAGATTAGAGTGTGGCATGTTGGTTTATTAGGGGTTAGGGTTTAACTATATATATATATATATATATATATATATATATATATATATATATATATATATATAAAAGAGTACGATCAAATGAGAACACCAAAAAAGTTGAGAACACGAGAACAAAGTATATTCATTTGTGATTCCATGTATTCATTTGTGGAGAAATGATAAATTTTTACGCCT